AGACAGACTAAGAAAACCGAAACTGTTTTTACTCAAATTAGATAAAGAATAGTCAACCTGCTTTCTTTCTCAATACAAGGACATAGTATCGATATTACGGATTCATAAAAGTTTCTGTTTTATTATTATTGGACAAAAATTTTTAGTTTCACTTCGGGTGTATATGTAAGTGTGTATGTTCTTCGAGTTACATAAGAATCATTTGATACAGATTCGCTTTACAACGATGCAATAAGCATTCTGCTGTTTCTAGGCTGAAAGGGGAAAATAACTAAATTCAGATGAATATTTTTTTGCCTTTAGTTGTGAGAGCCTCAAACGCTTTTCTTAATCTGATTATACCCGTTATCTACCTTAAAAGATGGAGAACCATATTTTTGTGGGATTAGACCAGAACCGTTTTCTCAATGAATTGAATTGGTTCTTTTATACAACTCAAGGCCTCACTAAGAATAACTTTTATGAATACGATTGGGCATGGCTAGTGAATAAAGACCAATATAATACGATCAGGTGAAAAATGGAAAGAATCGATAGCGAAGTGTCATCGAGCGAATCCACTCAATTGAAGCGCGAACTACCTGGCCTGATTTCTTTCAATAGTAATACTGAGATATCCTAAATCTCTTTTCCAAATGAAATAACAATAAATTCTGGAATAAACATGTTCAAAAAATAAGATGAAATTTAAACTCGCTTTAAACAGAGCAAAGGTAAGAAATGGATGTGAACTAAACTTACCTGGCACTTTTCAACAAGCGTTCTCGGTAGGTGAGCTCTAAAGGTGCTACGGCCAACCACTGTTCCTTTGCTCAGTAAAGTTATAGAGTCATTAGGGTTTTTTTATAAAGCATGGAATATAAAAAATGTGCAGTGCCATCTCCGGGACTCGAACATTCACCTCTCAAATACGCATAGAGTGCACAACCGTTATACCACGAGGACATACTAGAAGGAGGGAAAATTACCTTATATACTTTCCCTTTTAAAGGGCGATTTCCGATTAGGGTATCCAAACGCCAAATTCTGATGATGACAAATTATTTTCCACGAACGCTTTTAGCTCGGGCGCCACTATAGAGTCATTAGGTTATTTTGAAACAGGAGAGGTGAAAAATGTGCAGTGTCCTCGCCGGGACTGGAGCCCTGGACCTCTCGAACACGTGTCGAGTATACTTCCAATCACACTACGAAGGCATGCGCAAAGGAGCAAGAAAATACCTTATAAAGTGAATCGGTACCTTGAATCAGTTCGGAAGCGAATTGCCAATTTCTAATCAAAATATTAATGTTTCAATAAATATTTTTGAAGTGTATTATTCCAAAATGAACCCTGTCTCATGACTCTTGGATAATGTCGGCAACATATATCTTTACATAATGAGAGATATTGATACTAGATTTCTTTTATCCGTTAATAATCGAATCGGAACTTTGTTAACTAATAGTGTAGATACATTAGGATTTTTTGCAAGCAGGAGATGTGAAAAATGAGCAATGCCGTCGCCGGGTCACGAACCACGGATCTCTCGAATACGCGTCCAGCGTGCTGACCACTACAACACGAAGGCATGCTAAGAAGGCGAGAGAAATACCTTATATACTCCCCCTTTTAAAGGGCGACTGGGGATTAGGGGCCCCAATCGCTAAATCCTGGTGGTGGAGAATCATCATCTACCACCTTTTTTAGTTCGGCCGCCACTGTAGAGTCATTAGGTATTTTTTGAAAGCAGGATCTGTGAAAAATGAGCAACACCCTCGCCGTGACTCCAACCAGGGATCTCTCGAATACGGGCCGAGCGTGCTGACCACTACAACACGAAGACATGCGAAGAAGACGGGAGAAATACCTTATTGACCTAATAGTAGAAAAAGAAGCTTCCCTGACTTGTATACTAAGCTTAAATCAAAATAGAAAGAAGGCTTTGGAATTCTATATATTTTCACACAGATTAAACACTCAAGTATTATATGTCATCGAAGTCTAAATAATCTTCAAGAAAAATTAATACAGACTTAACAATATCATCATTTGCCAATTTTATATTCACATAGACGGATTCATATTAGACGGATCTAAAACAGAAAGTTGTACAGGCTCTGGTATATGCATATATAAAGATAATCTACCAATCTATAAATGGAGAACAGGACTACATAAAAACAATTCAATCTTCCAAGCTGAATTAAAAGCAACAAACTTATTCAGTCGATTTAATAACCAAATTAATATCTACACAGATTCTTTATCCAGCCTTGAAGCTATAAGTGGTATTTATTGCACAAAGTCTGAAGTCTTCGAAATTCAAAAACTTTTAATCAATACGTCAATAGTACTGACAAATGCTTAATTTAATGCTAAATTTTGTTCCAGCCCATATCTTCCCAGTGATGAACTAGCAGATTCTCTGGCTAATCAAGCAGCAACAGGATTAAATCAACCAGAATTTATAATACCCTTTCCAAAATCACATCTTAAAAATATCACATTCAAAGACCTGTTATTACAGTGGCAATCAAGATGTACTAATACTAAAACAGGACAAAGAACTGGAAAATATATACCAAATGTTTCGATCAAATTCATATCATCGTCCTTTACAATAGTAACATTTTTAACTGGACTCGGTTTATTTCTAACATACTTTAAATAGATTCAAACTCAAAGATACTGCCATTTGCAATTATGGTAAAATATCAAGTCTCGACCATTATTTGAATGTGAATATACAAAAGCGCATCACTTCAATAAACCTTCAAATCAGTACTGGAAAAAATGGACCCAACACCTATTAAAACATCCTGCTTTATATAATAAACTTTCAGAAACAATAGGATGCTGTATCAATGATAACAAATAAGCTCTATAATTATTTTCATCAACTAATTTCTTTTTTGAATTCTAATATTAAACATTAGAGTAAATTATTTAATTTTATTATTTATTTTGTATATATCAAAAGTAACTTAATTCAACAATAATTTAAAACTAGAACTGATTTGTTTTATATCAATCAACCAAGATTTCAATCAAGACCATCTGAAACATTGAACTATTTTATGTACGAAATCTGCGTTGGAAAGAACCTGAAACTTCAAAACTTTGTCTCAAGAACTTTTGAGCTATTGAACTTCTATTAAACTACGGAACTTTCCCTAAATCTTGAACTATTGAAATTTATTAAAATAAAATTGAAATATACATCAAAATTAGCTCAACGTAGCACGTAAATGCAAAGAAGACTATAAATGATTTTCACTGTCATGTAAAAGTCATTTTAAAATATTATTATCATGTAAAAATATTCATGGTGAAAACTCTGTAAAAAGGATCTTTTCAATAAATAATTCCCACTAGGTGGGTTTTATCCGTTAGGTATGACTTTAGGTCGGAAGCCCTGTCAGTGGTGAAAAGTGCAAAGTACTTAAACAATAACATCGTCATCTGAGAAACTAAGTAATTTCGCCATACTTAACCTAACCCGTGAAGTCATTGAACAGGAAGTACACTCGTCTTAGAATTTGTATTGTTAAACTGTTTTTATTTTAACAGTTCATCCTGAAAAAAGATGATATGTGAAAACCCACATTTGCTTATTATGTTGAAGGATACTCCGACATCTAGCTATCAGTCATTACCATTTTCATTTATCTCACAGTTAAAGTTTTATTGCATATATATATATATATATGATTGTTACAAAGTTGATGATGCAAAAAGGTGTAAAGTAGTAGTAGCAGTCATCGCTTTTAACTTTATCACTTTTCTTTCATGAATATACTCTTCCACTCATCCCTTTAAAAGAAACAAAAATGGCTTAGCGATAGAAACACGTTTTTGAGAAAAAATATTAAAGCAGTGAAAATCAGTGAAAATTGATGAGATGTATTAATTGGAAAATATATGTCAGGAAATTTTGAAGTAAATAATAATGTTTAAGTAACTACAGAACATAAGTTATGAATACATTAAGTTTGAAATATTTTGAAAGTTTTGTAAAAAAAGCTTTTTTTAAAAATAATAATAATTTCATAAAATAACTAAAGAACTTAATAGATTTCGTTATTTGGGCACTTATGCTGTTTTTATTTGTGATATAAAACTAATATAAGCATATATTAAATAATACTAGCGACCCGCTCCGGCTTCGCAGGAGTATAAAATATATAGCCTATGTCACTCACTGAAAAAATTATTAAAAAATCGATCCAGTAGTTTTGATTTATTCATTACTGCCCGTGGCCCGCACGCGTTAAATTTGGAGTAAAACAATTCCCCTTTTCCTATACCATGAAGATTTCCTGCTATCTTTGGAATATCTAAATTCATACACTACAATTTTACTTATTTACTTTTTACATTTTTACCTATTTATTTTATTTTTACAACAATTAATATGTTACAAAATGTCTTTATATACAACGCTCACAGCTTTCTTGTCATTAGACAATACAAACATGTTTTCTCTAGAGGTTACTCTTGAAAGAGCGACATACAGTTGGCCATGTGAAAAACAGTCAACGATCAAATCTAAGCCTGCAACGTTGAAGGTTTGACCCTGCGATTTATTAATGGTCATTGCAAAAGATGTTTTTACCGGAAACTGTAAACGTTTAAATTGGAAGGGTAAATCCGATGGTATCAGAGGGATTCGAGGAATCAATACATCTTCTCCGGTACCACATCCTGTGAGTATTGTGCACTCTATTATGAAAGTTTTCGGTGATTTTACCAGCAAACGCGTGCCATTGCAAAGTTTAGATGGATTCAGGTTTCTTAATAAAATAACAGGACAACTTACTTTCAACACCATTTTGTGAGGAGCGAGTCCAAACGGGTTCAAAGAGTTTAGAAATTCTATAGGAAAATGAACAGCTTCTTCCAAATCGAGAACAGTATCGACCGAGTAGTATATTTTCGTCGGCGCATCAATCTTTGAAAGAATTAAGTTATTTACCTTATCTACTTGTTCGTTAGTTGGTGACAGAATCGCTCGTTCTTAAAACCAAGATATTGTCTTATAACTTATGTTATCAATGTCAGGATAGACATTGTTGACTAACTCTTGGATGCTGTCTATCAAAACACAGAGGTTTTCTAGGTTAATCCTTCCCTCACTTTGTGTTAACTCTCCATTGCCAACTTTTAGCAGCATCTTTGGAAATAGCCTGTTCTCACGTGAAGATGACGAAGCCCTCATATTAGTTTTAAGCTCTAATTTATTGACATGTGGCCAAAGGTTGGATCTTTTCAGGGAAGCATTTATTTCGTCATCACGTGTTCCTTGAGTCACAACTGGTAGGATTTGACGGAAATCTCCTGAGAACAGAATTGTACATCCACCCATAGGTGAATTTTTGTTGCGCAAATCGCGCATTTTCCTATCCAGTGCTTCCACAGACGTCTTGTTTGACATGGTAGCTTCGTCCCAGACTATTAATGAGCAGTCACGCATCAATTTTCCTGTATTGCTCTGTTTAGAAACACTACAGACGCTGTTATTATCATCGGTGGAGATTTTCAGCGGGAGCTTAAATGTAGAGTGTGCGGTTCGGCCTCCTTCCAAAAGCGTAGCGGCAATGCCGGATGACGCAACAGCTAACGCAATTTTTCCGGTAGATCTCACTTTTTTTAAAAGCAGATTGATTAGAAATGCTTTTCCTGTACCTCCTGGGGCATCAAGAAAAAACAATTTCCCTTCATTGTTATCAATTGTTGATAGTAATGCAGTGAATACTTTTTTCTGATCGATGTTTAATCGAGGCTCATCTTGAGCTATATTTTGTAAAAGTGTCGTTTGATCGTATGGTGTTTCTCGTGTGTATTCGGCACTGTTAGTTAAATCCGAGTTAGTAGTATTAGCTGGCATCGGCAGCCCAAAATCCTTGATCTATTTACCCGAAAGTAATTGCACTACTTTGTTCAATTCAAATAATGCTTCGTCAAATATGTTTTGATCATATTGTACATCATCTGAGTTTAACTCTCGCCGTCGCCGAATCAGAATATCACTGGCCATATTTTCTTGAAATTTATTCCATAGATTAACAGAATCAGTTACTTGACAAAACGCTACTATGGCGGCAAATAAATATCTTAATGATGTAGCTGAAGTACAAACAGCTGCTTCCGATAATGTGTTTTCCCAGTGAGAATCGTCTTCCAAGAGCCCATAGCTTTGCATGCTGCTTAATAAGTATTGTAAACAACATCTTGAACAGTTCTTAGGTGTGCAAAGGATGTAGGGCCTTTTACAATATGCAGTAACATTGTCAGATAAAAGCATTCGCTGTTGTTGGGATGAATCACGTAGACTCTGCCAAGAGCATCCGTTTTTTTTTACTCCGGGAAAACCATCAACCGCAGTACCTTGTTTTCGCCGTTGAAATGTTTTAGAACTCTGGTTTCATGTATAGTTACTTGGAACTCTGTCATATGTTAGTGTTTTCACGAAATCATCTTGAGCACATAACTTGAAGAATGCTGTCGATGTTGTATCCCGCGGGTTATTAACAACTTCTTGTATATGTTCTCAGTGAAATATACTCTTTGTCCATTTTCTAAATGAACTGCAAGGTGAACAATTGTGGGAGCCCGGTCGTGCACTTCGAATGATAAAATCCTCCATACAGCTTCAGAGCTGCAGATGTAACGTCCAGACTGATATTTTCCCACTTCATTTGGTGATTGTATGCTGAAAGTGGCTTGATCACTGCTTTATTAATGTACTTAGTAACATATTGAATTGACTTTATTGAATTGCATAACTCTACGTTGATGTGGGCATCAAAAATTTTCAAAAGGAGCGGATTATAGGGAACTATCCATCGGTTATCAATATCATGGTTTCTTACGGTACCATTTAGCCCACCCTGTTCTGGCGATCGTCGACGATATTTGGGATATCCGTCAAGCTAGTACTTGTTTGAGTTTGAAACGACTTCGGAAATTCTTTTGCTGCATTTAGAATCTCGCATACATGGAGAATTCGGGTTTAAAGTCCCGCAAGAGCCGAGTACCATATGTTTCTTTACGATTTCGTACGGGATAGGATCTTCATCTTTATCCGGTAATTCAGCTGAAATAACCCTGTCAATTTGGTTTGGCCTAATTTTGTTCACTAACCACACCAGCAGGTGTACATGTGGCAAGCCACGTTATCTGCCATTCTATTGTGTACATATGACAGCGCGGCGGACCTGAATATATGAGACTTGTTAACTTAGGTGCAGGAGTTTTCTGTACTTTTAAATGGAAGACTCTGTTAACTATATCGTATCTGTCTTGTGGAGTTAAATTGGTGTTAATATTTTCTTTGATTTCCGGTCAATTTGGGTTACATGTTGCAGTTATAAATAAATCAGGTTTGCCGTAATTTCTGACGTAAGTCATGGCGTCTTGCGATTTTTCGTGTAAATATCGAGGTCCACCTGTGAATGACGAAGGTAGTATAACCAACTGCCCAATGCCGTTGCCGGTGTTCATTCGCCTGTAAAGAATCCTGAAGATGAACGTAATTTTCGGCTCTCAATTTAGTTTGATTATTACGGATGTAGATCAATCTATCAAATTCAATTTTCGCATATTGATCTACCAAGTATTGGTTTGTTAACATTCCATATCTAAGCAAAGTGTTGAAATTGTTACGTCTTGTCATTATACGGTAGCAATAGTAGTCATACATGACACTGTTTTACGCACAGGTGTACCACCGATTGGGTCAACTTGAGAAATATTAATGGCATAACCATTTTCTCCACGACATAGCATCAAAGGATATTGTAAGCTGTCATAAGATCTGTGTAACTCTGAAATTTTTGCAAATTATCATCACGAGTATGCAATACAATATCTCTTTTGTCAAATTGCTGTCCAGCTATCACCACTGCTACTTCACTCGTGGAAGGCGCATTGTATCGTCATCTGTGTTCTCCAACAGGATCTTTATTTGCATGGATTACGACATTAAAGTCAGTAGTATCTGCTGCAACACTCTCAATCGCAGTTTTGAAAGACTGTATACGCAACTGTAGCAATTATGAGAATGTAACATATCTTGGAGAGATCTAATAATCTCATCAATTGGCTGTGCAACATTTGAACACCGCGTAGATGCTTGTGTATCTGGAATCTGCAATAAAATATATTTTCAGAAATTTGTGATCATCGGGTCGAAGTGGTAGCAAGTTCCCAGCTAAGTGGTACACTTGCCCTTGAATTTTAAATGTAGGCATGAACCCTCGCTCAACGACTTGCTTACTCTTAAAAGAGGTCATTTGAAATGCGTTATTATAACGGCGTATATGCGCATGGAATTGTTTGGATTTCTGATGATCACCCGTAAGAAGAGAGTGAAGTGGTTCAGGTGGAATGAGAATTTTTCTTCTAATTTGACTTTTCCTGTAAGCAACACATGCCTTTCGATTAGTCCTTGAATTTCAAGCCAAGCAATGTTCACACACTACTGACATATACCTATTGATACTATAGGATCGTCCTTGTAAGAAATCGAAGGATCGTAATTCATGGCAGAATTTTCCTTATTTTACCCATGAATTATAACTCGTGTTGATGATTCTCTGGCCCTCGTAATTCGATGTCTATCCCTATCTCGGCTGCGGCGAACCTCACGCTCTACTGAAGATTCTCTCTCTCTCTCAGCTCTATATCTATCACGAGCCTGACTGAGGCGAGCCTCACGTTCGGACAATTCTTAATCTCTTGCTGAACGTACTCTTCTGGCATTCACTGTACTACGACCTATGTTCGAAAGACGATGTCTTCCAGACATGACTTTATAATTTCTGTGAAAAATTTACTCAGTTCTATATGTATGATTACTATGCAAAACTGCATATTATTAGTATATGCCGCAGTAAAAAATATCTAAATACTTACCATTTAGAACAAAAGATAATCAACAATCATAAAAAACAAAAGATACCTATTCTATTCAGTTCTTTTTTTAACTGAAATACCTCAACTTAAACTACGATTTTAATTAAATTAAAAAAACTTAAAAATAATTTGCTATTTGTGCGACTAAAAACAAAAGATAAATCAACAATCATCAACAACAAAACATACGTATTCTATTAAGTTCTTTTTCTGAACTTACATACCTCACCTTAAATTACGATTTTTGAAAATAATTTCCCTAATATTAAATTGATTTTTAACTCTAAATTTTAACCAAGATCTTAATAGAAAATTCCAATCCATATTGATAAATTATGGTTTCATTTAATCTAATCTTATCTAACCTTATGTACTTATAATTACTATAAGTGCGATTTAAAAATTCATCTACCTTAGAATAGAATATCATTTATATTTTAAAACTACTACCATACAATTATTTATCGTAACTTCATAATAACTGATACGTTGTCGTTATTATGAAGTAAATAACTGATACGTTGTCGCGCTGAAAAACACGTATTTATTAAGTATATTGTTGTTTTCCTCGCTAGAGTGCTCCGATAATAAACGCGTCCGATCGCTGCTAAATTCAAAGTGCTAGAGAGAGAACCGCGGCCTCCGACGCGCTATTTATAGGCACGCTCCCGCCTCCCCGGCCGGCCGGTACCGCCGCAAACGCTACGTCCTGCAATTTTTAAATCCGTAGACCTTTTCAAGTGTGTACAATACTTAGTACATTATTTGATAAATCTCGTAGGTTCAGCCTGCGTTGCAATGTAAGCGGACAAAAAATGTACGACATCACATTAGAAACCTCAAAAATAACAGTATTTCTCCACTATTTAATGATGTTATTATACATATAAACCTTCCTCTTCAATCACTCTTCTATTAAAAAAACCGCATCAAAATCCATTGCGTAGTTTTAAAGATTTAAGCATACATAGGGATATAGGGACAGAGAAAGCGACTTTGTTTTATACTATGTAGTGATTAAAACGCCTTCAGATTTCTATGTATGCTTAATTTGATGGTTTATAACAATAGTCTTCTAACTGTGTTCCGCGGGCCCCTGGGATTCCGTGAGTCAAACCAAAGTGTTCCGCATCAAAATAAAACTTCTAAAAGAAAACTTTAAATCACTGCACACTAATGTTTATTAACTAAACTTAGAAAGACACATTTAGTTACAGGTTAGTTTTAAAGGATAACGTGGTCATCACAGACAGCTCTCGACTTTCGTACATAATTGTTTCTTGAAAGAGTGGGCGAATGTTGAATATATAATGAAATTCACGAAGAGTGTTTAAGTACATTCGGATATTCTCTTTATTAAACTTGTCAAGAGTTATTTCAATGCCAACCTTTTTTTTTTCTTGATAAAGATTTCTGTATTATGTTATGTCCTTCTCAATCGCCCTATACGCATGAGATATACGTTCTAAACTGGAATCATATTTTCGAACGATAATGAAAAATTTGTCAAATTGCGTGAGAGTTTCATTCACATTTTTAACTGTCAAAGTACTGATGTTTTATCAGTTTCTTTTTCTTCACTTTCATAGTGTGTTTCATTGCTGCTCAGTGTGAGATTCCGTCAACATCATTAACATCTTCATTGTTGACGTTTATGTCATTCATTGGGCTAACTAGTTTCATCTAGCTTCTGGTGTTCCTTCAAAATTTATAAAATCGTTCCATATTTGTGGGCATAACAGTTTCCAGGAAATTTGCATTGCAACTCTTATATTTCAGCCCATGAGTATCCAATATTTTTATTGCGTTCCATATATTATAGTTCTTATAAACATCTGTTAATGTTGGCCCATCTTCTCGTCACTTGCCTTCAAGCCTTAGTCATTATTATCCTCATATAAATCGCTTAAATTCTAAGTGATGAATGAATGAACTATGAATTTATGATCCACAGTTAAATTATTTGATAGC